GATTGATTTTATTCTCACTTTAGTGCTGTGGGGTTTCCCACAGAAGTTCATGTCTGCAGTCGAAGCTTCCTACTCGGAAGCTCTCTGTTAGGGTTTCAGTTAACACACAAACACACATACAAACAAATGTAGCACAAGAAGAGAACTTCTGTCTGTCTGTCTGTCTGTCTGTCTGTCTGTCTGTCTGTCTGTCTGTCTGTCTGTCTGTCTGTCTGTCTGTCTGTCTGTCTGTCTGTCTGTCTGTCTGTCTGTCTGTCTGTCTGTCTGTCTGTCTGTCTGTCTGTCTGTCTGTCTGTCTGTCTGTCTGTCTGTCTGTCTGTCTGTCTGTCTGTCTGTCTGTCTGTCTGTCTGTCTGTCTGTCTGTCTGTCTGTCTGTCTGTCTGTCTGTCTGTCTGTCTGTCTGTCTGTCTGTCTGTCTGTCTATATTAAAGGATATCTAAGATTTCTTAAAGTAGTTTACAGAAAAGTGGGTTTTAAAGGGAAGCCCCCAATATCTATAAAGCCTGCAGTGTTTTGTGACCAGCTGAGAGAAAGCATGGGAGAAAGCTTTGCTCTCTCCGGAACAGCCCATAGTTCCAGGTGATGGGCAGAAATGGGTAAGCGTCAGTTTACTATCCTTAAAACCTTGCAGAGTCCTGCTAACTTTCTAGCACAGCTCTTGCGCCAGTACTTTGCACCAAACTCAGATACTTTCTAGATAAAATAGAGCCACATTTTCTTACAAAACATTTCTGGAGTTCAATAGTGCATAACTGAAATTAAACAAACAAACAAACAAAAAAACAAAAAAACATGGGCTGCTCGCTTAATCCCAGTGCTACTTAACCAGGTCTCTGCTAAGATGTTGCCAAGCGTTGCTTGTCCATTTTAACGTTCATCTTTGCTGCAAAGAGGGTTAGAGTGACGTTGCTTTCCCGTTAGAGAAAAAAGCAGATGTTCTTGTAGTGTGGCGTTCTTCCCTACACTTTCAGAACCGTTTGGGATTCCCACTTCCACTTGCATGGATTCAACCCCACTTCTATGCCGTGTCTATTTCCATATCGTGTTACTCGTGAAGTTACTAGGAACCTGTGGATGTGTCGGCACAGACAAGCCTGAGCACACATTGTAAAAAGAAGGAAGCAAGTGATGCCGAGTGAAGAAAAGACACAATAAACAAACCTGGTCTCGTTTTTTAAACCTGCTTTGTTATAAATGGCATCATGTAATCAGGAAGCTCATTGTCATGCACGGTTAATGTTTAGCAACCATTCACTCAGCTGCTTCCTCGTCAGTGTGCCTCCAAACTGGTTCTCCTTAGGAGTCGCCCCTCCTGAGGTCACAAACTAGATTTCAAAAGCAGGTCAAGTTCTCCACCACGGGGCATCTCTCATGAAAGAACGCCCTGATGGGAAGCCGACGGATGCCTTTCTGGGTCAGATATTTCTCAGCTGACAGTAAAAGCCAGGAAGAATTTATAGACTGAAAATGCTGGGCCAGTTCGGCCTTGAGAACGGAAGGCTGAGGCGAGATCTGATAGCAGTTTTCAAATACTTGAAAGGCGGTCATCCAGTGGAGGGGCAGGATCTGTTCTCGATCATCCCAGAATGCAGGACATGCAACAATGGGCTCAAGTTACAGGAAGCCAGATTTTAGCTGAATACCAGGAAAAACTTCCCAACTGTTAGAGCAGTACGACAGTGGAACCAATTACTTTGGGAGGTGACGAGTGCTCCAACACTGGAGGCATTCAAGAGAAAATTGGACAACCATCTGCTTTGACTTGGATTCCTGCACTGAGCAGAGGGTTGGACATGATGGCCTTATAGTCTCTTCCAACTCAATTATTCTATACAGTGGTGTCTCACATAGCGATCACTCTGTTTAGCGATGAAAACGCTTTGCGACACGACGCATTTTTTGCGATTGTAAAAGCAATCGCTTTGCGATGTTCCCTATGGGGGAATTTCGCTTTGCGATGATCGGTTCCCTGCTTCGGGAACCGAGCATTGCAAAGCGACAATTTTAAAACAGCTGATTGGCGGTTTCAAAATGGCCGCTGGGTAAACAAAATGGCCGCCTGCTGTTTTCTGGGACGGATTACTCGCTTAAGAAGCACCGAAAATGGCTGCGCCATGGAGGATCTTCACTGAACTGTGAGTTTTAAGCCCATAGGAACGCATTAATCGCGTTTTAATGCGTTTCTATGGGCTTTTTAATTTCACATTGCGACGTTTTCATTCTGCAGCGATTTTTGCGGAACAAATTAACATCACAATGCGAGGCACCACTATTGACTTTCTTAACTAATTTGTGATACAATGATGTATGTGTTTTAAGGTGTTACCTCACCTTAGGAAACAAAGGTGTTCCCATACACATACACAAACAGACACAGATCCACAGTCCAGAAAGTAAGGCAATCAACCAGACTTCTTGACTGGTGGAATATTATATGGCAAATGAAATCAGAAACTCCTCCCACACAGATTTAGGTAACAGCTATGATCAAGTCGCAGGATCTGTTTGCAATACACCCATTGATTGCTTTGGGATGTGTCATGCATTATCTGCAGCAGAATAACTTGCATAGGAGTACACATTGCTTCTGCCCTTTCACCGTTTTCCTTTTAAAATCTTTTATTAAACACAAGGCATGACATCCAAAATGATTTGTTGGTGGATTCATGGGTAGATGGAACTCGATTTTACTCTAAATCGGCTACTGCCACACCATCCGATTGGTGGAATGATTGTGTTAATCCATACAGAAAATAAGTGGAGCCACCCAAAATATTTTGCTGCCTGAGGCCGAGCAACAGATGGTCATTTGATGACCAAGTGAAGGTGGTTCTCTATGCAAGTACAGAACATTGTGCCTCTCCCTTCACAAGAACAAAAATACAGTAATAGCAAAGTAAGTAATTTACCACCAGCTGCTCTATGAAATCTGCTTCACTCTGCCTAACAGTCGGGTTCACTTATCTACGGACTGAAAATATTAAACATATTAAAAGAAGAATTGTAGAAATATACAGTATATCTAAAAGTGAAGTTACCAAAACAGGACATCAGAGGGAGCAAGAAGACCATGCTATGTATAGTGTTCACTCAAGAAATACAGTCAACCCTTGACTTACGAACGTCCCTACATATGAATATATTGATTTACGAACAGCTCCGTCGGCAAAAATTGGCATCAACTTGCGAACAGAGCCTTGACCTACGAACGAGGTCGAGGCTCCGTTTGGAAATCAATGCCATTTTTTGCGAATGGAGCGATCGGCCCCTTCGGAGGTCTCAAAGGGCTTCCCCCCCGACATCGGAGGCCAAAAGGCATGGAGTTAGGGCTGGACATTCGAATTTCCAGGCCTTTCCCCCTGCCTTTTTGCCTTTCGAAATGCTGGAACGGATTAATTCCATTCCCATGCATTTCAATAGGAAATGATACTTTGACGTACAAACTTTTCGATGTACGAACGTCGTTCCAAATGAAATGGTACTTCGACGTACAAACTTTTCGATGTACGAATGTTGTTCCAAAACGGATTAAGTTCGTAAATCGAGGTACCACTGTAATGTAAAAGTCCACAATGTCATTACAGGAATCGGTCACTAGAGGGAGCAAGAGATCATGCTATGAGTAGTGTTTACTATAATCCACATTTTTCAGGAAAAACGATTCCCAGTGGATATGGGGGTATGTCTCTCTGTGTGTCTGTGTGTGTCTGTGTATTTTTTCTGCACACATAAATGTGTGTGTGTGTGTGTGTGTTGTCTGTGTGTGTCTGTGTATTTTTTCTGCACACATAAATGTGTGTGTGTGTGTGTGTGTGTCAAAAATAATCTCAAAATAATCCCAAGGAGGCATGGGCTGTTTTGTTTTTTTGCCGGCGGAGGGAGAGGCTAGTGGTATAAGGATGATGTCAATAATGCCAGAAACACAAGAGGGGAGCAATGCTCACTGTTGAGGTAGCTGTGCAGGTTGCCCTTCCTCATCAGCTCGGTGACGATGTAGACGGGTTCGCCCACGGAGCAGATGGCCAGGAGTTTGATGAGCCTCGTGTGCTTCAGGCTTTTCAAGTTCTGGATCTCTTTCACAAAGTCGTCTCTCATGTCCGCTGTTAAAAGAAAAGGTCAGTGGTGCAAGGGTTAAAGAGCTTCAAGAAAGACAGGCCTGTTCCCTGATAGCTTGGGTCCCTTGCCTCCCTCTTTTTATTCATTTTAAAAAAATTTATTTCCTCTAGAGGGCGCTAGTGGACGTTTCTGCCTTGTTAAACAAATAGACGGGGGTCTATAAGGCCATCAAGTCCAACCCCATGCTCAGTGGAGGAATTAGAAAGTATCGAAAAGATACAGAAGTACCCCCTTGCCTGCAGGATCGGTATCCGCTGATTCATTTAACCACAGCCTGAAAATATTAAACAGATTGAAAGAAAAATCCTAGGAATATATATTTCTAAAGGTGAACTTACCAAAACTGGGCAAAAAAGGAGCTAGAGACCATGCTATGTATTGTGTTTGCTGGTGTTCACTCTAATTTGTGTTTTTCAGCATCCATGGGAGAGGAACTTGGAACTCATCCCCTCCAGATATGGCGGTCCTACTGTGATTTAAAGAAAATTGCATTGCCCCTCAAGCCTGCTTCTGGCTTGCTGAGATTTCTGGCTGGGTGCGCTAATGGTTGGGGAATTCCAAGGTGTACGGTCTCCTCCCTGGTGGTTTCTTTTTTAATTTTTTAATTAGACTTGATCTAATTTGATCTCATGGGGCTGGACTGCCTTTCGGAAGGAGGACACCATCCAAAGGAAGAATAGTGCTTCCGACAGAGAACTCTCTTTCCTAAAAGGAACAACGTGCCTGAACTTCTGCTTTAACTTCTTCTGATCGTTAAGGTCCTGTTTATATTTTCAGGATCAAACGAGGATGATACGATTGCTATAATCCTCTACGAAACTGATCCGGAAGGCGGCTTACATCATAGTCAAATGCAAAGGGCCATCCACTGTGAAACAGGAAAGTGAGAAGGTGAGAGGAGGAGAATTTCACCATGCGCTCTTTCCACCTACGTACCTTGCTTCATGATTTTGATGGCCACTGGCACCGTGTTCTTCCACATTCCTTCCCACACTTCCCCAAAGCATCCTTCCCCCAACTTCCTCCAGAGCTGGAACTCGGAACGGGGACGTTCCCACTGGTCTGTCTCGGGGGCCCTCTGCAAAAATACAAGTCACCAAAATGTACATATATGTTTAATTATTATTCAGTTTGTTGCTCAGTTGGTATCACCTGGCAGGACAAAATTCCAAATAGAGTAGTCCTACCATGTTTCCCCGAAAATTAATTTTACATTAATTTTTGCTCCAAAGAATGCAATAGGGCTTATTTTCAGGGGATGTTTTAATTTTGTCATGTACAGCAATCTACATTGATTCAATATACAGTCATGTCATCTCCTGGTTGCTGCACAATGGAGGAGGGTGGGTGTTTCACTTAACTGGGGCTTATTATGGGGGTAGGACTAAAAATTCTTATTAATATTATATTATCTCCCCAAAAATAAGACCTAACCTGAAAAATCATACTAGGGCTTATTTTCAGGTTAGGTCTTATTTGGGGGAAAATAGGGTAGAACGACCTGGAATTTTTAGTATGTATACATTAGTGAAACAATGACGTCTACATTGGCTTGGGCATGTCTTGAGAATGGCTGATACCAAAAGATCTCCTGTATGGAGAATTAGTGCAGGGAAATCGCCCCAGAGGGAGACCACAGCTGCGATACAAGGATATCTGCAAGTGGGATCTGAAGGCCTTAGGAATGGACCTCAACAGATGGGAAACCCTGACATCTGAGCGTTCAGCCTGGAGGCAGGCAGTGCATCACGGCCTCTCCCAATTTGAAGAGACCCTTGTCCAGCAGG